ATTTATGGGAAGTGTTCCTGCAGTTTACAAGAAATATTTGATAGGATGTTGAATTCTACATATTTGTAGGCTATAATGCTGGGATTTAAGTTACATGGTTTTCTGTATGCAACAGTTGTTCCCGGTGATATTTTTCCAGCCCAATTTGATTCAGATATCTTGTCCATTCTCAGTCTTTCTGGTAATGCTTCCTAGTGAGAAGGGAAGGGACTATAGCTTCAAGGGGAAAATGGTAGGAAAAAGATGCACAATGATTTGCCATTTACAATTCTTAACTTTACAGAACTAAGCTAATAAGAAATAAGAAATGATTTGTGGGAAAGAGAAATGAATAAGTGAAGATTTACTGCAGAAATAGTACAATTTAAAATTTATTGACTTTAAGCAAAAATAAATCTTTGGAACATGCTGTGGAAGAAAAGAAACGAAACTATGAAATAGGAAAGAAGAGTAACTAATCGCAAAGACAGTCAAGCAGGAATGAGGATGAAGATGTTGAAAATAAAAACAGTTGCTTGCAAAAGAGAGCACCACTACCACCACCCCAAAGTCATATAGAAAATGTTGTGATTGCAGTATGATTGCAGTAACATATATATCACTGTTTCTCAACCTTGGCAGCTTTAAGTGTGTGTACTTGAATCCCAAAAGTTTGGGAGTTGAGGTCCACACATCTTAAAGTTGCCAAGGTTGAGAAACACTGATATATTAATCTCATGAGGGTACTCTGATTTCTGGATGGTTCTCCTTCTCACCACTGATAGATTCCAGCAACAAATAATAAAACATAAGTATTTTATTTATTTATTTATTTATTCAATTTCTATAGCCACCCTTCTCAAGCGAGTTTAAAATAAAATAAACCTCTTATACTTTCCAGAAATTGAGCGGCATGGTGGCCTAGTGGTAAAGACACTTGCCTCCCACTTGGAAGTTTGAAAGTTCAGTCCTAGGTAGTGGCAGATATTTCTCTCCTTGGGTGCCAAGAAAAAAATATCTGCTGCAAACTCCATGTGGCATCAGCCAGCTAGTAAATGCTCAGTTCCATTGAATCGACCTGACTCTACCCTGAATTAAGGGATTACAGGGTTGCAAAAAAGATGGGTTTTTTATGCTTTCTAGAGTTTGAGCTCCTGTAGTATATTTCCAAATAGAAGTTAATATATGATTTAGAACTGAAAACCAAACTATTTAGGGATAACCTTAAATGACTTAAAAACCTCCCCAAATTGTCCCTTTCTGGATGAAGTTTTGGACTCATATTAAGTCAAAAAAACAATCCCAATAAGAGGATTTCAGATGAATTTCATTCTGATACCTGGTCTGCAGTTGCCTGATTCCTGGAATGAAGTGTAGTTATATAAATTGCTTATCAAACAGGTAAAATTATGATATTAATTCCAAAGAGCTTATATTCAGAACAGTAGTAATGAAGCAGAATAGCCAATATTTCAAACCTGTTCAGGATTTTGGGGACAAAAATACATGATTACAATTTTGATAGCTGGTGAAAAAAATAAACAGAATTGTTATGAGTCACTGTCTTCTACTTGAAGAGCACGCACATACATACTATCACAAAAGTAGTATTAATTTGGTTTTTGAGATGATATATTGTATCTAAAACTATGCATATCTGTCCACTCATCACCGATTGAAGGAACCATGACTCATATAGTGAAACCATTGAGAAATTCAGAAAAATTATTAGAATGTAAATATAATATACAATTATATTTGACTTTCCTTAAAATGCTATGTTGTTATTGTTGTCTTACATAGGATTCTGTACTGTATGCACAATGCCTTAGAAGTTGCCCAATTTCTCTAGAATATATAGAATAGGAGAATTTGAAACCTTTATGGAATTATTCGAGAGGAGAGTTTGCCAAGCTAAAGCCAACCACGCAGAACATTTCAAAACCAAATACAAAATAGAATATGACTACTTGCCATAATATTTCTCCAGGAGGAAGTCTGTGCATCCTTGACAGTGGCAGGAATTCCTTCAAGGTTACAATCCTCATGCATAGAAATGCAACAAGGGTGAAATTCTTGTTAGTCCTCTGAAGTGAAATGCATCCTCAGAGCATCGTTTGGTGAGATGGGCATCTATATATATTTAATAAATAAGTAAATAGATAATAAATAAAACTCTTCCTGCTTGTATATTAAAGTTTGGGATTGAGGAATGCAAGTATAAATTTCACTGAAACTTTAAAAATAGCATTTCAGCATGGAAAAATGTGACAAGTAGCTTGGTCACTAATATTCTTTTTTTCCCCCAAAAGAGAAAGCCATTTTGACTTTTGAACTGATTTGCATTGCGTTAAAATTAACCTAGGAAAATGTCCCTCTGTATATATCTTTAACTAAGTTTTAAAAAGATATCAACAAACCTGAAATTACTTTGAAGATGATAAATGAAATTTCGACTTCAAGAGTTTGAAATGTAACAAAAGATTGAGAGCATCAATAACCAGGAACTTTGTTTCTGAAAACAATCACCATTTTGATACAGTACAGATGTGTAGTAAAACGTGAAATTTCCATGGAATGGTAGACAATTAGCTGCCTGAGAGAGTGAATAGCACAATATGCCAACAGGAACAAGTTTTCCATTTATTTTAAGAGGTCAGGAATAATACAAAAAAGGCTAGATTCTGAAACAGAGGAACAATAAAATCAGGCGCAAGGGGCCCTGGACAGGGAACTTGGCATCCATGCTATAATAAGATTACAGTTCTTGCAGTTAAGGTGGAACTGTATCTATGTAAGTTGATTTAATAATAACTACAAGATCAATGATAGTAATAGGTATATATTGTACTTTCCCCAGCTAGTTCTACCAATTCATTGCCAGTAACACTGTGTTCAAACAAGAAATGACCATAAAAATCCGCTCTCTTAAATGCATGCTAAGAATACAAGTGTAATTAAAAGCCAAAATTGATTGTTTTAGGTCTAGCCACCATTTAATTATATTTTGGATCTTACACCAAGGAAGTAGTTACACCAAACACTTTGAAACAGTAACACTTTTATTCCGAATGAAAAGTACAATTTTAAAGATCATGTATCTTAGTAAAAACTTGTTAGTAACCACCCAACTATGGAGAGATAGAATGGCTTAAGTGAGTGTCTTAAAAAAATACGGATATGAAATTGAAGGAAAAAAGTTCCTAGAACGAAAAACTGAAAAGATCAAAGCTCAGATATTAATAGTTCATTATCTGGACTGGAGAATCCAGAGCCAATTAATACATTGTGGCCATGCATGCAATGTAGAAGTGAAAATTTGAAATGACTTTTATATGTATGATGTAATGTTAGAATTCTTACATTTTGAATTAGGTCTTTAAACAAATTTCATAGGAGAGAGTTTATTGTATCTAATTCTATCCAGTCTCAACTTCTGGCAGGCCTAATACTAAGGACGGCCTAACCTGTGATCCAGAATACTTGGATTTAATTCACATTCCATCATATCTAATAACCTGAGAGTACCCCTTTGTACAGGAAACACCTGACTACAAAGAGAATATCTACTTCCTCTGCTTCCTGCTGGGTGCATTTTTAAAATATCATTTTATTGTAATTTTTTTTAGTGTCTCCTTTTTCCCTCAGCAACTGACTGATGGCTCAGCTCTAGATTAAATTCAGCTCAGTCCTGGCTCTGCCATCTAGCAAGATGAAAAAACTTGCTGTCAGGTGAATCTGGAGGCTGTTTGTTCTCTTTGCAGAGAACCAGATGCATTGGGCTGAGTTTAGGCAAATCTACTTTATTGAAAGCTATGTTAGTTCTGCACTTCTTTTGCATGGCAAAATTTAAGATAGATTTTATTACATTTTAACTATTAGGCTTGGCTAAACTACCTGTTTAGTTGAAAAAGTGCAAAGAGTAAATGAATCAGTCAAGTGAACAGTCAAGCCTTGGAAGTACCTGAATTGTTTTTGCTTGAGCAAATAATCATGCTAAGAAGTGCATACCATTAATTCTGTAAAAATATTCCAGATGAATCTACAAAAATTGATATATAGGCAGAATATATAAAGTGGATACATGAAGAAAAAGGACAAAACTCAAAATGGTCTCAATAAATATGTATGTATGAAGAAGATCACATCCACATATACATCTATCACAGATGAATGCAAGTCCCTCAGATCATAAAACCTGCTGTAGCAAGGAATTTTATACTTTAAGTATGAATGAAATTCATAATAATATTCTTTGGACTCTTTTTTGTGTATATTTTTAAATTGGCCATAATTTTATTTGGGTTCCTTGTGCCAATGGAAAATATAGATAAATACATTTTTTAAAGCAGAGAATAGAACAGAGCCGTTATATAGTATAATACTGGTGAGCGGCATAGAAGGTTGCCTTGTTGAACAAGGAAACAGGAAGCTAGAGAAATATGTGTCAATAAGGAAGGTAGAAGTGCTTTGGTTGCAGTTCTTTAAGGTAAAAATAAGAGATATGCCGAATATCTGTTGCTTTTTCTTGTTCTCCCTGCTAATTATCATTTAATCTTCCTTACTATCATTGACATTTGTACAACACAATATCAACACACTGAAAATGAATGTGATGTAATAGGCAGCAATCCAACAATGGAATGGGAAACTCTGCTCCAGATTTATATATAAAGAAAATTCTAGGATTATGAATATTTTCATATTTCCAGATCAAAATTAACAACAGACGCACATCAGAAATTCTGCAATAATCAAATGCCCTTTCAGAGCTCCTGTCAATTCCACCATCTAGTTTGGAGAGCATTCTCATTTGGTTTGCCAAATTGTAATAATTACTGTTAGAGCTGAAATTTTAGTGGGTTGACATAAAAGCACTTATTTCTTTAATTTCATTTTTTTGGGGAAAACCTTTCAAATTTATAAACACTTTTTTAAAAAAATTATTTTTACACAGCTAAAAGAAAACCAAGTTGTTGGTGTTTTTTTCAAAAAAGATGAAAATGCAGACAACAGTGAGAATCTGAATTGCCATGCTAGGCCAAGCTTATTTTATTACATACATTCTGCTTTCTAAGAACTAGTTAAATTCATAATGTAAACATGAAGCATACAGAGTTAAAATTCAAGGCCACAGTATTTCTGATTGTCATTTTTTATGTCTTTGGTTGGCCGAGATCAACTCGTAGTGTATAAATGCATAAGTTATAAAATTATTATATCAAAAGAAAAAATAACACTGACTTGTATAATTCATTCTGACAAACGCACAGCGTTCGCGACTCGGAAAGAAAAACTGGCGCTGCCTAACAAGTATGTCTATTGGCAATTGGATTTTGTCCTTTTCAACTAGTAGACAACAACTTCCCTTAAGAAGAATGAGGTTTGAAGTGTCATTTTAAATAGCACACAATTCCAGTTTAATATCTTTATAGAGAGATGCATAATTCAATTACCACTATTTCTCCCTCTTTTGACTTAAAAATAAAGGCTTTGTTTTTTTCTTTGATAATACTGAAAATGGCTTAATACATACTATGGTATTTGTCATGTCCAAGCAAATAATTCTTCAAAAACTGTCAGTTTCCCCCTCTTTAAAAGAAATACATTTTCCTTCATCTTTATCACCCCATGTTCTTCTACTCCTTTCCTCTACATTTATCAGACACAGGGTTTTAATCATGCTCTTGTGAACTCCTATTTATTGCAACAGGGTCTGCACAGGAGAACTTCCTGATATTTGAACCCTTAGTCTACAATCATACACTTGCCCTTAGCACATCCTCAAACCCAATGTTTGGCTCAGAGCTCTGTAACATCATCAAGAAACTTTAACTTGCATTGTATTCACAGTTTTGAAATATCTGATCTCTCCCTCTTGGTGAAATACAGGCATTTTATCCCAACCACAACATGGTCTGCTCTAGAGATAGATTTATCCCACTTTTTACATATTTGTTTTTTTGTAAAAAAAATACAGTTAGTTTTTTTTATGCATTTATATATTCATGTATTGTATCCAAGTTCATAATAGAATATCCTTGTATTACTTTACTGTGATATGAAAAAAGACATAACAATCATAAATTTCTTCTGGCCCCATGTTCTAGTTATTATTACAAACTTTTAACTAGATGTGTATTTCCTTATTTCATGTTTAGATTTGATGTCAACATATTTAGTAGCATCTTTACACTTTTTAATCTCTCTATATAAAAAGTTTGTTTTATATCCTGATCAGTATTATCAGTCTTTTAGGCACATTTTGTTCAGATTTGCTGGTTGTAACTTCTTGTATTCCTGGAAAACATATCCTTTAAAATATTCTTCCCTCTTTAGTAGTAAGTGCCAAGATGAGAAGGCATATGAGTGGTTGGGAGCCTAGTGTTGGGATAGATGCTTCCAGTTGGTGAATTCCAGTATGGACTGGGTCCAGCAAAAAAGTTGGAGGAAGTAACAGGCAAAGCAGGAGCATGAGGAGCAACAAAGTTCATTTTCTGGGGGTGTGCATGATAGGAACTCATGTAGGGCAGGTCTGATGGGTATTTATAGATGGATGATTCTGGAGGATGTGGCTGAAGGGCTTGAGCAATTCCATGGAAGTCAAATTTGTAGGCATAACGTTTACCATGGACTTTAGTCATTATATTTTTGTCATAATAATAACGAAGAGCACGACTGAGCTTGTCATAGTTCATATTGGGTTTGCTCTTCCTTTCCCCCCAGCGCCGTGCAACTTCATCAGGGTCAGTCATCTTGAACTCTCCATTGGTACCTTCCCAGGTGATGCAATTAGAATTGGAGCTATCTGACAGAAGCTCCAACAAAAACTGCCACAGCTGTATCTGCCCACTCCCTATAGGCAGGGGGAAAAAAAGAAGAATCACTAGAGATATTGTATTAGAAATTAACAGAAAGACAGTGGTCCATAATCTATACATAGCTCTAGGCTACCCTTTTCCTGTTCCTCAGTTGATTCACCTGCCTGGACAAGATAAAGAATATATGAGGAGATCAAAGATATCGCAATTATCTATACAGTATACCCCCCCCCCCACAAAGCTATATTCTGTGTGTTCATGAGAAAGGTAGAACAGGTCTTCAAACCATGGCAACTCCTATACCTTGTATACAATCCTTGACTCATCATCCACAGCATATGAACTTTGAAGTTTAGCCCCATTAAAGTAAGGTACTGTAGCTAGTCAAGTTCCACTGAAGACAATGTTTACTGTTTATTACTTAGGAAGATCAAATTACTTACTTTTAAAAGAAAAGTTTTAACAATTTGCATTATGTATTGATTAATACTATAAATTTATTCTTCAGCATGGCCACTGATTTATTGGGACCTTTGCTTGATAGTCATTTATTTTTAAACTGGAAGTAGACAACCTTTGTGAAAGGTTTGTATTAGGCTAATCATTGAGAAGTAAATTTTATGAGTAAATTTATGTAAATCTATGAATAAAAACTCAAAACTTTCTCATTGTTAACTGTTGTTTTAAGTAACCCATATCAGATTGGTAGGATCCAAGCAGCCATACTAAAGTTTTTTAGGAATTATATTTGTTTTTCTAATGCTGCAGACCCCATCTAATATACTAACATGGTCTGAAAAGGAGCAGGTTTTCAAAAACACTCCGTGACACATTGGTAGAGGTTTTCTTTCATTTTTTTTCTCCTGTAATTAAAATTAAACATGATTTTGATGACAATGACAGACTCATGGAATACAGTAATACCAGCTATCATCATTCTGATGTTTTGGGTAATATGTTTCTTATTTTCAGGTAAAAATGCTAATATTTTATCATACCTGGATTTGCAAGACGACTGCTTGTTGGACCAAGAATTTGATAAGGATCTAAATCAAGATAGAAATAGACATAAGCCAAAATTATGTAAGAACTTTAAAAATGTTTCCAAGCTAAATGCAGGGGATCAATATGCATGATCATAATATTGCTAGCTTAGGTAGTCTGTATTTATCTGCAAAGTAAATCTTCCATCAATTAAAACAAATACATTTAGATACTCATATTCAATTAATTATAGAGTATAGTTCTATATTCTATATATAGAGAATATAGCAGCATGGTGGCCTAGTGGTGAAGATGCTCGCCTCCCTCCCAGAAGATTGAAAGTTCAATCCTAGATAGCAGCAGATGTTTCTGTCCTGGGCACAAAGAAAAAAAATATCTGCAATGAACCCTGCATGGTGTCAGGAAGGGCATCCAGCCCATAAATGTTCAGCTCCATCTATTTGCCCAGACTCTACTCCAAATTAAGGGATTACAGGATCATAAAAAGGGAGTTTATTCTAGTAACTGTAGACAGGATTACAACAAAATTATTTGTGCTCACTTGTACTCCTTAGTTAAGTTATGATGGTTTGTCACTCAAGGTCTATTTAATCAGTTTTATTGCCATCATGACAGAAATATGAGGGCTTTAGGGCGTGAAGAGTAATGGACAGAGTTACTGTAAGTGGCTTAATCCATCTCCCAGCATTATTGCTATTCCACTGACAGGAAAGTTATAAAAGAATGTCCATCTGTTACAATGTGACTGAGTTCTTTTAGATCTAGAGGTGTGTTTTCAAAAGTAGTAACTGACATAGAAAAGCCAAAACAGTGGAGGTTTTTATGCTTCTTTTTTACTATACACAGCAAAACTATTTACAATAGGTAAATAAATAAATATTAAATAAAATCTGTTTTTGCTATGAAATTTCAATGTTTTTCCAATAGGAAGTTAGTAAGAGGTACCAACACCTATAATACGTTATTCAGGATTTCTGTCTTAAATAGAGATATATTCAAATGTTCAAATTCCAAAATAATACAGAAGGGACCAAGTTTTTATTTCTCCATGACAATCCATTATAGTTAAATATTATTTTTATCTCTGTCCTTATACTGAAACCATGAATTTTGCATTAAAACAGTGAAACATATAATTTAGTCTTCATGATCCCAGGCAAAAGATGCTCTCAGGGACCTTACATCATTTTCAGTTTAGTAGACTGGTTTTGCACATTACATTTACAGTATTTACCTTACTATCTGCATGACAGCTATCTTCATTATATTCATTATTTTAAAATAATTTGAAAAACAATAGTTGGTACACTACATTAAATATCAATATCACTGTACAACAAATCCTTAGTTTGTAACTAGATATAAGATGGCTACTGTCTGTCCATAGTGCTCACATGAAGCATAAACTACTGAACATTTCCCATCATCTTTAGCATACAAGACATAATTACATAGCCAAAGCCATACCCAACTGAGGACGCTGGTCTTCTGTTTTGGTCACAACTGAAGATGATGCTTGGGCAGCTGAAAACACAAAAACAAACAAAAACCTTTATTACCATCTATGTCAAAGAGAGATACAGTACAATCAATATTCTTTAGAGTGGAAGTACTTGGTACTTTAGTAATAATAATACGAAGAAGAAGAATTTCACAGAAATAATATGAAATCTATTGGTTTCAGAACAGCAGGCATTGTGAAGGAATGGATATAGTTTTGTTTGTTATGTTTTTTCTTGGTATTTGTTCAATATGATTAGAGGATCTGCATGTTTTTGCACTGTACCTATTTAGTTTTTATAACAAAACTACTGATATTGGGATACAATGAAGGTGTTTGCTCATTAGCTGGGTTATCACAGAGCCTAAGAGGGAGTGTCTGGTTCAAAACCATCCATCTGGCCTCCATACCTAAGGGATGACTAGAATTGGGACTCTCTTCATAGTCTATCACATCTGGTTGAATTATTATTATTCATGAAATGTGTATGCCACCTGACTTCCAGCAACCTTGAAGATCAAACTTATTGATTATAGCTACAGAATATACTCTTGATTTCACCATGAAAATCTAATTTATTAATATGTGCGCTCAATTCTCAAAACAGATAATGAAGGTCAGGGTTTTTTTTTTTAAATATAAGTTCCATGTTGGTTGATTTAAGTTTGAAATTTGTGAGGGTGAAATGCTTTAGAAATAATTATGGTACTTCCACTATATCTTTTACCTTTTGATTGAGGAGCAGGATGACCATGACTTGTCCATGCTGATCTTCTGGCTGGTTCATAAGGTATATCTGTGTGCAGAAGAAATCACTGTAAGTAGATCTGATAGAAAATAGGAATGCTGCTTTAGGCCAAATGCCTGTCATCTGGTAGCTCTTGAAATTAGTAGTTTTCCAGATATATAAAATTCAGCATTATTCTTACAACAGTCCACTTAATTGCCACTGTACAAAAAAATCTCTTCCTGGAGTTATAAACATATACAATGTTTGACATTTATCTGTCTATTATTGCATTGCATTGCATCACATTATATTTTAATTGTTTTAATTTGATTTATATCCCTATGATTCTATTCCATTTTGCATAGTAAAGTACCAAGGTAATTAACAAAATTAAATATGAATTATTATTAATGTTAAAATCATGGAAACAGTATTCTTTAGGATTCTGCATTTTTGTCTCATTTTCAGAAAGCTCCAATTTATTATATGCATAAATGTATTAGATTAATGAATGGAGACATGACACTGCCATCAAATAGATAATTATGAACCTTCCTTCTCAAAATTGCACTTATGAGAAAGTTATGTGACAGTGTTATCTGCCATACTATGGCTATTCTATGAGTTTTCATAGAAATAGGTTTAAAAAAATTTAATGACGACTTGACATTGTAAAATTAATTATTTGAGGATATTCATAATAAACATTATAACAGTATTAAAATATCCTCACTGAATAGTTTGCATGGCTACATTCAAAATATTTTATCCTTTTTTTAAAGTTTACATTTCAAGACATTTATGTTAAGCTAGGTATAGTGCATAGCAGTATCTTCAACATATATATTGTTGCGGAATAGACACAATCTACATATTCATGGAAAAGCAATAAGATTGCAATTTAACAGATTCCTGCAGAAGAAAAAAATTTCATTAAAACATGAAATTGTGCTGGTCATGGTTTATTCCTTTTTCCAAATGAAAGCTACTTCCTTTATTTTTCCATCCTTATTTGAGAAGAACTTCTATAAAATCTTTTGGAGATCTGTTTCAGATTTTTTTAAAACTGTAATACGCATAAGAGATACGTCTGCATTAAGGCCCATAATGAGTTTTGCTGTGGGTGGAAATTCATTTTAAAAACCAAACAATTCCAAAATAATCTGTCTCCCTCCACACAATCTTACATTTGGCTGTATGCTAAACGGCTTTGTTTCTGCTCTATTCCTTTCTTATTATAGGATTATTTGACCCTTTTATTATTTAATATAGAACTTTTCTATTCCTTTCAACCAAACAGATTAGTGGAAAGAAATTATATACAAAGGTTTGGGATTTTGCCTGTATGTTATCAGAATAACTTTTGACAATTGAACAGGAGGGGCCAAATTCATTGTGTATAGGCAAAACAGCAGCTGATGAAAGAAAAAATTAATAACGGCTAGATCAAACTGGGGTCTGGGGAGAACTTCCTCAGCGAATGTCTACGGGAAAGGCAGTTGGACAGCAGTTAAGGAATATTGCTGACCATCTCCTCTTCCTAGTTCATGACTCCAAACAGAATACATGCAGTCTATGATGTACTTCTTGGTGTATATATGCACAGATATACACAGATGAAAGGGGAGGGGAGAGCAGAAACACACAGAGAGACATAACTGTTACTTCATTACACAGGGGAGAAAAATGCAAAAATCTTTTTATGGTGACTAATGATAACAAGGCTGGAAAGAATGCTTTGTATCTTTTCCTATCCTACATTTTTTTCCAAACAAAAGAAAATGTTGGAAAGAAATTATGCAAAAAGGATGAAAACTCAATTTGTTTATCTGTATAATTCTCCAAAATCAAATAGGGTTAACATTGGTGTGAAAGAAGATGGCAACCAGCCCCCCCCCGCCACACCTCAGGTTCAACAATGGGCCAGACTCTGCTGAGGGTTGTGGAAAAAAAGTTTTCATGTCACAATTGGAAGGCAGCAGCTCAGAATGTTGGCAGCCTCTTAGTCCCCTCCCTTCACAGCCACCTGGCCAGTATGCAGCTATTTTTAAAGGATTGGGAAGAACTCTAGAAACCATATTACGTATGCTCTCCCTATCTTATTATACTGTGCAAGCCCTTGGGAACAGAATACCAAAGTATATTCTGTTTGTTAAAAATGCTAAGAAAACTAATTCATAAATAAACAGAAGGCACAGAACCAAAACCAAAAAAGTTGGTGTATTCAATTAATAAAATCCTCTTTATGCCTAATTGTTTGAAACTGATTCCTCACAAGAAGAGGCAGCAGAGCTGTGTGGCCTATCCAGGCCTTAAAGTCATGCCATCTCCCCATGGTCACCTAATCTTTCAGCATGCCCTAAATTCAGTGCTACAAATTCTTTTTAAAAAATCCTGTGCCAAATATTTCCTCCTACCCTCCCCTTTCTCCCTTTGCTCCTGTTCAGCACCTACGTCTACACAGTGGCACTGGCAATTATTCTATTTTTTAGTAAAGAAAAAGTTTTCTTTCTTTCCATAAAATTTTAATAGTGTTTCAGCGTACTGCAGAGCACAAGTGCAGCTGCCTTGGTTTTCTTGCTGAATTCAATAGGCACTGAGCAGATTCTGGATAAACAAAGGAAAAACAAAAACAGAAAATGTAATGTCTATTAAGGGTGAAGGGGGAAAGAATTCTGAGGAAGGAGAAAAATTGTTCGAAAAGAGGAAGGCTATGACAGGAAGCAGAGTATCATCAAAGATTTCCTAAGACATCCTTTCATAATTAATGTCTGGTAGGGAATCTGGTGTGCCTTGGCAATGTGTGCTAAATTCTAAGTGGACAAAACTACAGTTATGTGTTAAAAGAAAAAAAAAGATAGAAATATCATAGATTGTATTGTAAAACATGTACACATCTCTGCATACCTGGCCTGGTGGTCATTCTTTGTGTTGCTTCAGGATAAACTGAAGTATTTGGAAAAATAAATGCTGCACCTCCTGGAAGCAAGAAAAAAAAGGCTCATGATAATATTGCTTTGCTATATATATTGAAATAAATTTGTGAATATCATGAGTATTTTGGGATAACATTTGAGAAGTTTGACTGCAACAGATGGCTTAATTTCCCCTATCAAGTTCAACTAATATAAAATAATTCCAATTAGAGCATATTATCCCAATGCATCAGCAGACTGTATATTTTACTGAATTATACAATTGATGTATTAGTATAGAAGTTACTTGCTTAATTCAAACCTAGGTAATAACAGGTCTGCCAGACATACTATATGCTGTACAATTATTTTCCTTACAGTGTGTAACTCTTTCTGTGGTTTTGTGGTGATTCTTCATAGGAGGGCTGTTCTAGGGGAGGGGTGTAAGCTCACTGAGATGTATATGGGCTCAAATCTCATGCTATTTATCACTCAATAACTACATCTTTTACTGTTATGATAAAGCTGAACTTTGTAAGAGATCAGAAGAACTTTTAATTACAAGCACTGTGAGAAATGAATAAATACACATATGGGAATATAACACATTGATGTAGAGTAGAAAAGACATATATCTCTGTACTAATCTTTATACATGAAGAAATTTAACATAATATGAGCTACATCAGAGGAATTCAGGTTTAAAATATCATTAGATATTAAACTCATTGGGTGACAATAGTCTAGTCATTGCCTCTTACTGCTTCTCAGTTAACCTAGTTGGCAAAACTGTTGCAATGATAAAATGGGGGAAGGCACCAGGCATACTGAATTACAAAGAAAAACAAGGTAAAAATAAAATAATGGAATAAAATTAACAATGTATTAAGTCATGAAATTTAGGTTCTATTTAAAACAGTTTATCAAATTAGTTCTAGCTAAGTTATGAAATGCATGAAGTGTTTTAAGAATGATACATCACATCTCTTTCTAAAGGACAATTGCACAAAGCAAAACATGAATTGATTGTCAAGTTGTTCAACATTTTATTAATTGCATTTTTAAGTCCTCAATGAGCAAGTCTATATACTGCCTTGATTTATACTGGGGAAATCAAAAGATACATAAATATAATTATCATTGCTACTGCTGGTAATAATAATTGTGTAAAGAAATAGAAAAAATATCATGTGAAAAGTATATCCTACTTTCTTAAAAAGTTCCCAGAGCTAAGAATGATTATACAAGCTGTTATTTCTGGTCACTAGAAATCATTAAAACTGTCAGGCATGATAACAAAAATGAGGTACCCTGAACTTTTATTTTATCAAATTAGAGATATTACATTACTGGATGCACAGTTCAAAAAAAAAGGGCTTGTTTTAATTACAGGCAAATGAACCAAAATTAAACCTATACAATTTCTCTCTTTCCCCTACTATCTTTCTCTCTTTTAAAATTAATGATCTGATCTGATGGGCAAACAGCTCACAAGAATAGACTAGTTGAGTTTGTCCGGGAAGTTATCTAATGATTCACAGTAGCAGTCCAATGTATTGTAACTAAAAAAGGGGCTATGACAGAAGCTACATTTGTTACAGTGGTAGACAAGCTCTGAAAATATCTAGAAGCCCAGGAGACTAAAAAAATATTTGCTTGGCATACACAACAATGGGTCTCAGGTGAATGAAGGGACAAATCCAGAAATGCCTCCCTCTGGTATGATAAGCGCTCAAGATACTACATTATTTACTGCATACCATTAGATTGCACCATTTAAAGATATTCAAGGTAGTTCCACTGGTTTTAAAAGTACAGATAGAATAAAGATTAAGCTTGCAAAAAGATTAGGACAACTGATACGTTTCAGCCTCTTAAATTCACAATTCTTTCTTCTCACATGAATTGCTTAATAAGTATCTGATCTCACTGTATGTTGAACATTGTAATGTTAGGAAGCAAGCTGGGTTAGATTTCCCTTCCATTTCTTTCCATTTGCACATATACAATAACTTTTTTTTTCCCATGGAAGACCAATCAAAAATTTAGTTCCTTCATTAATATAAGAAAACTCGGCAAAAGCTGCCCTGCTGTTTTGTTTACATGGTAGGAAAAACTACCAGGAGAACTAATGATGGGTATATTCCATGTGAGTCTCATAATTGTGTTCAAATAGATATGGGAAAGACACAGGTGAGTAATCCTTCCCTTCCCATTGTACAATATTGCCTCAAGAATGCTAAATGTTTTACATGTTTATGAAGAGCATTGGATGTATGAAATTCCCATCAATATTAAAACATATATGACAGTCTTAAGCACTCTGTTGTTGTTTTTTTTAAAAATTGCAGTCAGCATGCATCTCTTAGACAGAAATCCTGAACTTTAAAAATGGCCTATAAAAAGGGGAGCCGTGACAGCATTACCTGTATTTCTAGCATGCATTAACCGTGGAGAGTTTTGTAAAGCCTTATCAACATCATCTGAAGTCAAATGTGGAAGAGGAGCTACAAAACAAAAAGCAACACCAAGATTTAAAAAAAAAGAATAGTCAAAATTATCTTACTAACCATTTTCTTTTAGTATAATAGGATTGTTTGTGGCCATGAGTTCATTCATATCTTTGTGGGAATGGGTTTATGATTTTTCTATTGGAAGCAGGGAGTTTTAAGTCAGAATAATATCAAGGAGTGTCTTAATGACAATATTCTTTATGAAATCTGTGAAAAATATGTCATATTGGTGTTGCACTGCCTGATATTAAAATAATGGTCACTTACATTTTTTAAAATTTAGAACCATTTTTCTATATGCCTTAAATAACCAATTTACTTCCTTCTTCTCCTACTTTTAAATGCTATATATTGCTTTATATTATTTATATTTGAGGGGCTTTCCTTAAACCTGAAAAGATCAATTTTAATGGGAACTTCTAAAGTGCTCATTTTGTTGCACAGAACACATGCCTGAATATACTCAAAATCAGTATGTCTATGGTTTCATTTAGAATTAACATTTCAGAAATGGAAAGAAAGCAACGTTATATGACCAGAAAAAGACATTATTACCCATTCTAATTATATAAAATGTATAATGCTTTAGTCTTCATTGTCTTAAAAATAATCAATAATTTCCTAACTTGGAAGAATTTAGCATACATCTTTAAAGGAGAGTAAAACATATTTATTTCTTACTTTCTCTGAGGTAGTGTAAGTGTGAAAGAAGAATGTCTGCATTGTAGCTTGGTGTGAGCCTCTGGAAGTCATCTTTGGTCATCTTACACAACTCCTTTCCATCAATATCTTGAAATAGCATGATGTCCACATCTGGGAGGCCATATTCCTTCACAGCCCATTCTAGCCACTGGCGTACATGGTCTGTGCTCCATAATGTAGGATCTATTTTGAAAGCAGAAAATGCATTTTGTTAAAGTTGTGAAAAAAAGATCTTTCCCCAGGGCAAACCTGTTCTACTGATACTGATTAATTTTACTGAAATAATTCTAAAATTCTTTCTTTTATTGACTTAAAAAGACGATGTGTACTAGAAGACTCTGGGAACAGATTTGTTCTTAAATTTCAAAGAAAGAGAGACAGACAGAGAGGGAGAAGTGGGTAGGGAAGGAACCTTAAAATAGATTTGCAAAAAAAAGAGGGGGAAATTGAGAAAGACTGTAGCACAGCATTTATTCTAATGAAATTAGAAACATATATATCTATTTTAAGGGAAAAGCCTTTGATGTTAAATAATTGGAATATCAACTAAAAGTATATAATATAATTAACCTATCTCCACCAGCTAACTGATACATTATTCTCTTTTGTATATGGGCACTTTTGTACATTTTGTTTCTCCTTCCTAAATTTATTTGGCACCCATTTCATTTAGAAGTGACTCTGGGCGGCTTACAGCATAAAAACATTAAAATCATCAAAGATAAATATTCCTGACATTAACCATTAGTAAATATTTGCACTAGAAGAGATCTTTAGCAATTTTCTGTAGTATTTTCTCTATTGCAGTGTGGACTATCTGAAATATACTATGCATATTTGTGGTTTAAGGACCACAGCAAAATCACTGAATTAAACAAATTCATTACATAGTATTTTATTACTTAAATGTAAAATACGTATTTCTTATTTTTAGATTCTGAGAAACAGGCATATATTTAAACTATGTGCCATGACAACCAGCATGATGTTCTCTGAACGTTTTGACAGCAACTGAAATAAATATTTTTCTTCAACATGTCTGAATACAGAAGATCAGGGAATGGTAGGTGCTGGTACTTTAAGAAGAATAACAGTATGACAAACTGAATGAGTATTTCCTGGTACTTTATGTGTTTATTGTTTTTTTGTTTAGATTCTTTTTTATACTTTGATTTATTATGTATTTTTATTAATTCATTATTGTTACTAATTGTTAAGATTGTTAACAATTGTCAACAATGTTGAATGAGGCAGGTATACAAAGGCATAAAATGAAACACATAAATAATAATAAGCCTTTCACTTCATTTGGCAGTCCTTCTGTTTTTTTCTTCCTTTTGTAATAATGTATCCTTCGATTTAACTGTTCTAATAAAATCCTACGTAGCATTGTCAGACAAAAACAGGCAAAGCATAACTTGCCTATAGTCTCCTGTTTCCCCAGGGTAATCATAATTTGAATGCAATGATCAAAATCAACAATACCAAACATACTAATTTTTGGCAGAAACTTAAGAGAAAAATTATACGTATAAATATAATTACAAAAACCCTATAAAAATAAGGATAAAACAAGACAAAAATTCCTGCCTCGTTTCCAATGGTCTCATTTTCTCAGTGTTTTGTCTCTTCCAACCTTTGTCCTTTGAA